TCTCTCTCTCTCTCTCTCTCTCTCTCTTTGTTTGAACAGTTGACCGGAATTTGAACGTCCTTCCCTTTTTTTTTCCCTTCTAAATTTGTTACGGAGACATTGTCCAACGTTTTATTCATTTTTCATCGCATCTTTGGACTTTTGCTCGAATTGTGGACATGCTTTTGTCGTTTTTCATGTCTAATGTATCCGTCCTCGGAAAGCAGCCACTCAATCAATCAATCAATCAATCAAATGGGTCCATCGAATTCATCAATCAATCGAGAGAATCTTGATTGATTGATGGACTGATATGATTGATTGATCGATTGATTGGTCGAGTCATTGATTTCCTTGATTGATTGATTTGATTGATTGATTGATTCTTGCGTTCATTGTCGGATACACTTTATTTTTCGCAACCATTCGACCCCATTGGGGGTGTTGTCGTGCTGTCAAAACTTCGCAACTATTGGAGTACCAGGCTGTGTTCGAATGTTCAGTTCTATGGTGAATCAAATGTTTGGAACTATTCAACCCATGGGGGGTGCCGTCATGCTGTCAAATTTTCCGACCCCGTTGTCGTACCAAATACCCTTACAAGGGTATTTGGCATGTTTTGCAAGTCACGCCAGATACGGCCTCGTCCAATGTTTACGGCGCAGGCGCAGGGAAAAGTTGTCCCCGCCCGGATGAGCGGCGCACACGGTGTGTCGACGACGAGGTGCAGCCCTGCAAGGCCCTAGGGGTGCCCAACATCAAAGGCCAGCGACAGTAGCCCCTTCTTCCCCGTCTCCCTTTATTTTCTGTTTTATTTCTATTTTTATTTTTATTTCTATTTTTATTTTTATTTCTATTTCTGGCTTACCAATTGGTGATCCCGTTGGTCGGTGTCAGTTCCGAGACCGGTGTCCGGACCAACGAACCTGGCTCAATTGGTACATCACTGGACTGTTCAAATACAGACCCAAGTTCACGTCCTGATGATGGAACTTGATGAGTGGCGCCAAATATTTATGAATTGCCTAGGCCCGCCAATGATGGTATCTCAACGCTATCCCCCTCCTTATTGGACGTCGGGTGCCTGCCGGTATGGGCTGTTGTGGCCGACGTTGCAATGGGGAGTGGTTGAAAGCCCCACGGGGGGCCGTCACAACAGTCAAGGACCTTGAGCACACGCCTCTTTTGGCGGGCCCACTGGGTCCCTGCTTGTTTGGGACGCTGGCGAAAATTCCTCTATTCTGTTCGTCTTGAGAACTGGACCAACTAGTTCAACGTGCATGGTGGGTGCTTAACCACGGGGCTGAAGAAACCTAAGTGGCGGGGGCCCTCTGCGGGTGTACCATCCACCACCCACGGTCTGCTGTGAGAGGTTTGAGTGTATGCCGGTTGGGACCCGAAAGATGGTGAACTATGCCTGAGCGGCGCGGGCCCGGGGCACAGTGGCAGAGGCCCGCAGCGATACTGTGCAAATCGTTCGCTGGACTTGGGTATGGAGGCAAAAGACTCGTGGAACCGTCTAGTAGTCGTTCTCTTTCGAAGTTTCCTCAGGGTAGTCGGAGATGTCTGGCAGTTCTATTGCGAGGCTGTCGGCCCCTGCATACTGGTGGTCGTCGTGGCCATGCGCAATCGTAGTGATCATCGATGGCTTGCTTGTAATCTGCATCTCGTTGGCAGCCTTCTCCCCCGCTCGTTGCTTCGCGCTGGGTTCCGACTCAACCTGTGCCTACAATCTTCCCCCAAACAAAACCCATGTGAGTCATGTACGAATAGAACGCACGTGCGTTATGCTACGAACATAGGGTATCAACTTCCGAAAACGCCACGCAACCCCCCCCCCCCCCCCCCCCCCCCAAAAAAAAAAAGAAAAAGTATGTGCCTTGTACAGGTATCTCCAGTCTTCCCACAAACAGGACCGTCAGGTAAGACACACAGAGGGACAGAGAGAGAGAGAGAGACCTCCAGTTTTCCCACAGAGGACCTGGAAACGAGTGCGACACTGCAGGCAGGCAAGCATGTGTTCTATTTGAATAGAACACCCATCTGTTCAAATAGAACAAATGTGCGTACTATTGGAATAGAACATACGTGCGTACTATTTCAACGTGCGTACTATTTGGATTTCAGGAGGCGACTTTGAGAAATTGACTTTTTCAGGGAAAGTTGAATAGTACATACGTGCGTTTTGTTCGGGGGAAGACTGTAGTCGGAGCAATAGGCTAGATATGTTGTGGGAATGGCAGGAACCTGACCGGGATCCCAACCAGGGGCAGTGATAGAGAAAAACGAAAAAGGGAAATGAACGTAGTAGCAGTAGGTCAAGGTGAGGAAGAAGGGGGAAGCGCTAGCCTGAGTACTTGCAGCGCATGCATCTTTCCATGTCCTAGCGGAAGATTCACCCTCGTTTTTGCACATTTGGTGAGTAGTGGAGAGGGGTTCATAGCAGCCCGATTTTTTTCTTCTTCTTCTTTTTCATTTGTCATAGTGGCCACCTCTTCTTTAATCACATGGCTGTCCCTCTCATAGTCGTGATCCTTGTGGTTATCATTGGGATCCTGCTATTTAGCCACAAAGAAGCAACCAAGTTTGTGGTGATCTTCTTCACCACAGTCGTCTCTTCTAGGCGGGTGGTACTCTTTGTCGTTGCAGGGCTTCCCTTTCATTGTAGCAATCTCCATCCTCTTACCCTGCAACTTAGTTTTCTCCGTTTCACTACTACATATGTTCGTTGTCTTCGAGAGTTTATGTCAGTGTCGGAAACATGACAGGGAGGTTCACATCTGATCCCTTGGGCACGAACATTCACCTCATAGACATTTCGACGATCTACAAAGCACTTCCTCCTATATAATTTGAGGCTGGAGGCGGAGGAAGGGAAAGGGGGGAAGAGAGGGAGGGAAGTATCTTTTGAAAGTATTTGCCAGCCCAATCTAGCGACAGCACTCCCTCTCTCTTTAACTCTGCATAACATTAATATTACAGAGGACCCGTCAACCACCCCCCATGGTCCCTTCTCAGAATGAAACTGATTTTCTTCATACCTTCGACTTTTTGTACAGGGCGTCATAGAAATCGCGCTCAGCATCTGTCAATTCGCATTCAATGACTTTAGTATGGCTTGGGGGAAGCACCAATATTGGTCTGCCAAGGAAAGAAAAGAGCCAGTGTGCATCAAAACACAAAACATACAGGAACATGAAAAGCAGATAAGAATAGGAAGCCTGTTTCCAAAGCACTGTGAGTGTGGCAATCACAGCCACTTTGAGGTAATCACCTACCTGGCATGGTGCAGGCAGAAATTGTCACTGGATACAAGGGGAATGCGGAGAGAACATGTGAGGTGCTCAGACTTACATCGAGGCTCAACGGGTGCCATGTTTGTGCCATGTCACTGGGGCAGTTTTTCAGCTTCATGGTTTCTGAGCACATCCATTGCACCAGTTGGTCCTGGCCACTACTTCAGAACCATCATGCTACCTAGCGTCTGTACTGTGTACATAAACAATCTCAGATCAGTGCAATTGGCACTCGCACAGTTGACAGGAAGGATACTGCAAGCTTGATGAACCCCCAGCCTGAAACTCGTTGAGAAAACTGCAACAGCAAATACGAAGACATCTCTGGACCTATTGAGTAGTAGTAACCTCCTAAATTTAGGCAAAGCCACACAATCATGAAGCCTGGAGAGTGGCCCACCCGGTGCTACGCCATCCCCCTGCTTACTAAGCACACACAGGGACACAGCGGCCTGCCCCTACCTCTGAGCATGGGATTCAGAGACTTTGATTTTTGCGCTTCTACTGCGGAAGTTTCCAGGTTGCAGAGAAGCTTTGTGCACATGAAAGGGTCTGTATAGGATTTGCCACTGCAGTGAATCGAAGTATTGGAGAGCCTTCCATGTTTTCTTGGGTCTGTGATGGGGATTTCATTATCATCATCATCATCATCATCATCATCATAAGCAACCTTCTTCTTCTCCCACTACTGCTGCTACTGCTAATCCCTATGCCTGAAGGACTATTACAGAAGAAGAGGGTAATTCTGAAATATTTATTGATGCAAATAGATGGTCCTAAAATTGCTGACATTTGAATAACTTGAGAGAGGATTTGTTGCACAAGATCAACCTCTAACAAATAATGTAAATTTTGGTGGACTTGGACAAGCAAGTGCAGAAATTGTTCTTCAAAATCCTTTTAAGACTGGATGTCTACAATGCATACAAGAATTTTGTAATCATTCCCAACACAAGTCACAAGCATTCGCAGCCCTCTCCTAAACCCCCTCCCCCATCAGCAGGGCGTTGGTAGACTATAATTGCAAGACTGGAGATATGCTATTATGCCCCAAGAACATGGCCTCATGTGGCTTGACTTGGACCTAACGTGGACGTTGAGCTCCATGATATGTTTTCGTAGGGAAATACAGGTGGGTTTCTTAGGCAACATGTTCTTGTACAGGTGGGTTTCTAAGGCAACATGTTCTTTTCCCACAGGAGCAGAAGGTTAACCCCAGGAGTGTTTCCATTTGTGAAGGAGTACATTGCGAGCCAAAGTCGATGCGGCATACGACAATAGACTTTATGCGGACCCGAAGCTTCTTCTCCTTCTTCGTCTTCTTCGTCTTCTTCTTTCTCTGAGGCGAGGGAAAAATGAAAGCAACGTACCGTCCCAGCCTGTCAGTAGTTTCCTTCGTACGCCGCAGCATTAGGGGCTTCAGAATGGCCTGTAAGAGCTTCAAACTCCTCTCATCACCGTCCTCATACGGTTTCTGAATAAGCTTGAAAAACCTGCACAATGTACCTAATTGCTGTTAGTTCGATGGTAGGCGGTTCTGCACACCTAATACCATGTCAAGAGTTCAAAACCAGGTTCACAAAAGTCAAGGGTCGTCACAGGCAGTTCTGCACGCCTAGAACCACGCCAAGAGTTCAAACCCGGTTAGAAAAAAGTGAAGGGTTGTCCAACTGAAGCGAAGGAACAGAGGGACGGAACACATAGTTAACGTTTGACAATCACATTGAATTTTGTAAGACACTTAATTCATACAAGCACACGCAGAAGTGATCAGCAGAGCAGTAGAAGGAAATGAAATTGTACAACACGATAATAATTTGGGACATCCGTTAAAATTGGAAGGATACAGAGAAGATTAGCATGGGCCCTGCGCAAGGATGACACGCATAAATTGAGAAATGCTCCAAATTAAAAAAAAGAAAAAGAAAAAAAAAAAATGGTAATAATGGCACTCGTGGAGAAGAAATCTGAAGAACACTTCTCACAACCAAACCCCTGCGCCTCCTCCCCTGCTTCCCTCCTCCTCACCATTCGCCTCCGCTCTTGTTGCCTTCCCTCACTTTGCCAGAAATTGTCAGTCCCAAGTACCACAGCTGGGGGAGTCTTCCACACCAGCAAGTCAGAGCCCATTACAAAGTCTGCACTGCATGCCCTTCCACTCCCTCCCCGCGCGTCTGGGATATCAATTGAGCTAACGTTACTTGCTGTCAATTTAAAGCTTTAAAGTTTAAACCATAGTTGCAACACACCAGAGCGGTGTGCCGTGCCGTGCGGTGCGGTAAGCGCAATGTGGGAATCCTCTATGTGTGCGCACTGCACGCACGTCGCGCGTCGGCGCAGTACGCTGTGCATCGCGCTACTGCCTTGGTGTGCGTGCACGTGCGCATCAAAGAAAAATAAAATAAAAAAATGTAAGGTGTGCGGGTGGTATATACGAGCTTCGAACCAATATGGGTCACGCATTTGTTGAAAAGAAATGGGCCTCGCTCCACCACTCTCAGGACTCTCATGATGGCTGTATCAGACCTGAAAGATCTGTGTATACACTCGTGAATGATGAGGGTTTCTTTCGTTGTTTTTCAATGTATACAAGCATCCTTCAGGTCGGGCACAGTCACATGAGGGGGTGTCAAATGATACAAGGCCTGACCTCTAATGCAACGGCCACATCCTTTTTTCTGTTTGTTTTTTTCAAGGCAACGGTCACTTCTCCTCGGGACACCTGTTATAATTGGAACCATACGGAGAAGATTAGATGCCCCCTGTGCAAGGACTACACACCAAAATCGAGAATCGGTTCAAAATAGGGGGGATAAAAAAAGGACGTACCTGGAGAAGATATACGTGGATTCTGTGAGGCCAGGCTGACATATCAGGAAATAGGGCCTCGCTCCACTACTCACCACATGCACAAAAGACAGAAAATATGGCAGAGTATCTTCCCATGTTCTGGTGGAAGATTCGTTCTCATTTTGCACATTTGGTGAGCAGTGGAGCGGGGGCCATAATGGAAACCTAAGGGCCTCGCTCCACTACTCGCCAAATGTGCAAAATGAGAATGAATCTTCTGCTAGGACATGGAAAGATACACCACCATATTTTTTGTTCTTTTGTGAAATGCCATGTGGTGGGCAGTGGTGCGAGGCCCTCATCTGACGGATCTTCTGGACAGGTACGTCATTCTCATATTCTTCTTTTACTTCTTTTTATTATTATTATTAACAAAAACTCCAGGAAAAACGGCCGTCAGTTCCGTCCTTTTCTACTTCTAGAACTCGTGAGAAACGGACCATGACTATATCTGGCCTGCAAGAACCCTACCATACACACATGGATGTGACTGTCTCTAAAACTTACTAAAAGCTTTGAGGCCTATGCAAGGAACATGAATGTCGACGAAGCACAGAAATCCAGATTGCAAAATCACACTGAAGTCCAAGTAGTCAAAGCAAGAGCAGAAAGCACAATGGAACCGAGTAACCATCCATTTGAGAACGATAAAGAAGAATCGTGAGTCAATGTCCAAGCCCAATCGGGCAACAACAACAGCATAACCCAATGTAGCTCTCTCTCTTGAATGGCGCCAGGCGCCCTACCTACTCTACAGCCTATCACTACAACTACAGCATGAAAGCAACCAGACAACTTGACGACCAGCGAGTGATGACGTCAACACCAATGCCGACTTCCTCTCCACCAGGTACGTCCCTCTCTTCTCCCTCACTCTCCCTTGTTATCCCACACAGCGCCCTTCACCTCCGAAGAACCACCTTCGCCCTTCACCTCCTCTGCGCCCTCAGGCAGCCCGGCTATGGCCGCCAGCRCCCTGCGCCCAGGCAGCGMTCTACCRCTTAGCGCTTGCCTGCTTCTACCTCAGCCCAGCGCAGCCCAGCACAGCGCAGCACCTCGCATTTGYGCAGCGTGCCGGCATTGCCCGCAATGGCCAAGATCCCTKCCCACTMGCCCTCTCTGCCTATATGCCAGTGTTGCGTGYGGGCGGCCTCCCTTGAGCCTGCGCCTGGGCCCCAGTACCTGCACCCAGGCCCAATGTGGTTGSRGCCCWCGCAGTACAGTTGTGCCTCTTTCATCCRGGCCTGCGTCCAGATTCAGATAGTGGACYGGTATCCCATTGGCATTTTCRGCCTCTATTTCCAGTATGCAATGTCGGCCTCACGTTTATGTGCCCAGGGCCTAACCAACTCTGGGGCCCTGGGATTTCTGCATTTGCAGAGCTTCGATACTCGGTGCACTCCAACCAACTGGCGTGCTGCAACAGTATGGAACTTCGTGAAATGTTTGCACAGAGGGCTCTTGTTGATTTGCTGGCCCGCCTTCACTTAGGGCGGGCACGAGGCTTGTTGGGGCCTTAGCCCAAAACATGTACATCATGGCGAGGCCCCTTCTTGAGGGCTCAATCCTCACATCCCATCCCCCTTAGCTTCGAAAGTCCGCTGAGATGCTTACTTCGCAGGTGCCTTCCCTTTCAGCATTCTCTCATAATCTGCCACCACTTGAGGAGCTGTGTCAATCAGTTCCTCTCTGGTGAAGCACCGATCTTCCTTCGGATCCGTATGATGCCTGAATCGGACGCGATACTCCCGCTTGGGTTTTGGAGGTCTTCCTCTACCCAGTGGCTTTGGAACAGGCAGATCTCTGTGATCCACAATGTCCTCAATGTCCACTTGACCATCCATGGTTGGGGGCAGAATTGATCTCCTGGAAGGAAATTGATCTATCTCAGCGAAAGGTGCAAGCTTTGAGGCATGAAAGACAGGGTGAGTGCGTAAGTGACCAGGGATACGGATAACATAAGTAGGACCATCCATCTCATCTCCAACTATATCAGGACTTCCCATGGACCAAAGTTCTGAGGCATTAGTTTGCGAGAGATCGCGAATTCCTGTCCCAGCTCACTAGCCTTTACCCAGACACGTTCCCCTACCTGAAATGAGGACTGCCGACGATGTTTGTTCTCAGAAGCAATCATTGCTTGCTGATATTTCCTGATGTGCTCAACAGCTTGCTGCAGCAACTTCTCATATTGCACACCATACTCGAGTGTGCCCGAAGTTGCAGAGGATCGGTTTTCAGGTAGGAGGAAGTCCAAAGCTGATCTAGGCTTCCATCCCAAGTGCAGCTGATTAGGACTGACGCCGGTACTGCTGTGTACAGCGTTGTTGTACAGGCTGGCGATGAGAGGCAACTTCTCATCCCAATCATCCTGGCTGGGCTTGATGTAATGCCTCAGCAAGTGTTGTACAACTCTGTTCATCTGTTCGGCCTGTCCATTGGCTTCGGGATGATTCCCTTAAGTCATTTGAAGTTGACTGCCCATCTGTTCAGCAGTCTTCTTCCACAGCTCACTTGTGAATCGGACATCTCTATCACTAACAATTGACTTTGGTAGTCCAAAATCACGTACACAGTTGTCCATAAACAACTTGATGACGTGGTCAGTCCTTGTTGTCTCTGGCATGGCAATTAGTCTAGCGTATTTCGTGAATCGATCGATGATGACGAAGATGTGCCTCTTGCCACTCCTACTGGTCACCAAGGTATTCATGAAGTCCATGGAAACACTCTGTGGCCTGGACCAGCGGGGATAGGTAAGGGCTTCAGCAACCCAAGCGGTGCTTGAGTTCGCGGCTTGTCCCACTGACAGACCTGACAGGTCTCTACATACTTCTTTGCGTCATCTAGCATTCCAGGCCACCAAAATCGTTGTACTAGATTGGCACTTGTCTTTTTGTAGCCAAAGTGTCCACTTGCGTCATGACATTCCCCTAGAAATAAACTGCGCAAACTCTCACTCGATGGAACTACTAACCTTTTACACCCGGCCTTATCAAGAAAGAGTAACCCATCCACCATCACAAACTCATTCTCGATGGGCTTGTGTTTTACCTGAAGTTCACGGATGATGTCCATCATGACAGGATCTTCCTGATAGGCTCCCACCAATGATTGAGTTACTTCCTCAGTTACACCAAACTCAGAAACTAGCGCCCCTAGGTAGTCTGCTCTACGCGATAGCGCATCTGCAACCTTGTTGTACTCTCCCTTCAGATACTCAAGCTTGAAGTCATACTGATCTATGACCTCAATACAGCGCTTGAACGCATCAGAAAGAGTCGGTTGAGTCTTGATCCATTTGAGGGTTTGATGGTCAGTTCTCAAGTAGAAGAACCGTCCCAACAGGAACTTCAGGAAATGCCTCCAATGGACAAGAGCTTTGTAGAGAGCATAGAGTTCCCTTTCATAGGTGGACTTTGCCAATTTCTTAGATGGCATCTTTTTGCTCATATACTCAATTGGTCTCAACTTCTTCCCATCCTGCTGAGCCAGCACTGCGCCAATGCCATATTGGCTTGCGTCAGTGGTCACTATGAATGGCTTCTGAGGATCGGGCACCATGAGAACCTCATGATTCATGAGTGCATGCTTCAATCGTTTGAAAGCAGTCTCGCACTCATCACTCCAGTCCCACGACGTG